GTGATCAGGCTCTGCCCGTGCCTTTGACACCTCCCACGCTGAAGGCGAAGGCGCCGGAACCACCCAGTCCATTCGATGCCTATTCTTACTTTGCGGATCCATGGGATAGCACAAACTTCACGTACAAATTTAGCTCGTAGTGCAGGAATAACTGTACAGGCTCTTTGATGGGCTCGCAAAAGCAATCAATTATATTGTTCAGTCCTGATGGATATTTACATGAATAAGATGTGGCTCAAGGATTGAATAAGCTGGCCTCAAGTATGCATTCTGTATGAGAACGAACGACAATATTGTGAAGTACGTGGGGAGGCATTCATGATGACGAGGTCGGTCGGTCGGTGGCCAGAGTACATGCAAACAGCGAGGAACCGCACTCTTTGATGTTGCAGAAGATAGCGCATGACGAGAAACGTGAACAATGGACACGCGGGTGTGTCGACAGAGTGTCCAGCTCGTCGTTGCGCACAGTGAACACAACCTGGGGTGCGGGTCACAGGCCCAGCGGGGGGTGCGGCCCGGTAGAATGACGCCGGTGACGGATTTTGCCGATAACGTTCTCGCGCGTTAGCAGCCAATACGCGAGTTAAGAATAAAAGTACAATTTGAACAGCATACGGGTGCAGGGCCTACGGCGGAATGTGTGTGCGCTGGGCCTTCATGACCAGGGGATCTGGTTTACAATCGATCCCATCTGGGAGGTACTGTTGAAAGCCGTTGCGATCAGTACTGGCTCGCAGTTGCCTCCCAGTAGGGATTTTGACTTTTGAGCGTTGATTCGTCATCGGGATCCACTTTCTCACTGTCCTTGCGCGTGAGGGATGCGTGCTGTGTCTTTCGTGTTTCGCCAGCTCGGTCGTGTCGTGTCGTAGACGGTGCCTAGCCATGTGGGTGTGTGTGTTGCGCGTCATGTAATGGGTAGCCGGAAAGAAGCTGAGAGGAAAGAGTAGTCAGTGTTTTTGTATCAAGCCCGGCCACAGACTAGTAGATGCAGCATTATATCGTGTTCGGTTTCTGCTCATGACGTATGCACGAGAGATGTTTCCGTTACCGTGCGGTGGCCATGATGCGATCCATCATCCACAGCCCGCGTTAAATTCTCTCTGCCCACCCGTCGTGACTAAGGTAGCACTGCATATGAACTGTCTCCCGGATTCTATGCACCAATAAACTTGAAGCCTTTGTATATCACAGCATATACAGACCTGAGGCATGTAGGACATAAAGGTATGTAGGACCGATGACCGGAGAACGAGAACACAACGTTCGGTAGAGTGGAAGACGGACTTCGTCACCCGTGTAGCATCAGCATCCTCTCCCTCCCTCACGAGAAGGCAAGCGCCGTCCAGGTAGCCACAGCACCGACCACTGCACCTAACCCGCCAAGAACCAATGCTCGGTAGCACCCCTTCTTCACTTTGTCGACAGCAGCCTCCTTCTCCGAACTTCCAATGTGCCCGACTTTGCTCACTAGTTCCTCATCTCTCCCAAATGCCACCAATCGACTATCTTCACCCAGTGAGCCAATCACCTCGGCAGCGAGTCCAACCGTCTTCGCTCTGGCGAGAAGATCGGAGACACCGTCCGTTGGGTGCTTCAAGATGACCACAGATCCCTCTGAAGTCAACCTTGCCCGTTCGAAAAACATGCGTTGCTTGTCTTGGCTGAGCGTGCGACCCAGAGAGCACGTTTTGGCGGTGTAAGGTGGGCGATCAGACTTGGGAGTGGAGGGTCTCGCAGGTGGACTGTTGGAGTCCGTTGTGACGCTGTGTGGCACTACAGACTTCTCTGCGGCAGATACCACTATAGCTGTGGGTTTGGAGGTGCTCGCAGCTAGGACATCTGCCTGGAAGATGAAATCAGGCTTCCCTGACCGTGGTCGTCCGCGACTTTCATCAATAGAGGAATCTGTGGGGAGTACTGTCTCGAGCGACTCTGTCGATTCTAGCCTCCCACAGGTCGAAGAGTCTAGTGCAGGAGCGAGAGTGTCGGCATAGGGACACCCTGAGCGCGGGTGGCCAGCGCGCGGCCGCTGACACGTTTTGCAGTGGGGCGTCTTGCGAGGCTTTGGACTGATCTTCATCGGCGACTCTTTGGCCCCTGAACGGTTCAGAGTCAGGGTGTGGGTATCAGCATTCGCAACGTTGTCCGCATGGCCTGCTTAAACCCTGCTTTCCTAAACGGTGTTTCAATGGCCTAAATGGGGTTTCAATGGCCACAGATTGCATTTCGAGAGGATCCATGGGTTCTCTTCGTCCTAAATTTGGTGATCGATGTGTATTAGATAAGATTAGATACTAGATCGGCATTGACACTCGCGTTTGTGTCTACCCGCTCTCACATCTCATATGCTCACTACTGAGAATGTTTTCCTTCGTCGAACATAACGGGGCCGTGGTGTGGGCGTGGTGCGGCTGGTGGAGGGGGACGAGGGGCAGCAGGACAAGGCGGGTTTCGTGGGGGCCCGCGCGCATCACGAGGGAGTTATGATGGGGGCGCGGGGCGGCTCGTGGAGTACATCAAGGAGTCGTGGGTTCGGCCGCGGTGGTTTTCGTGGATCGTAGATGTCTGTATTCTATCGATGTTTCCTTTTTGCCTCCAATTCAGCCATCTTGCTCTCGATGTATGGTCAATGCTTGCACCAGATATCTGTTCAACGACGATGGGAGGGATATCCGCAGAAAACTGTATCGTCACTGATGAGAACGGCAATGCGAACAAAGACACGTTCTCTCTCGCCATGAGCGATATCTGGAATGCAGCTGCCTCGCCCACTATTGCACCTGGTTGCCAGAAGATAATCGAGGAGTTCACTAGAACGGGTGCATTAGTGAACTACAGACTGATATGTACGATAGACACACATATTGGCTGTGAATCGGAAGAGTCTACGACCAAGGTCTCCTCCGTTGTAGAAGGCACGCTGCTCTGGCAGTGGCCCTAAATTGTCAGGAGGATGTCATGTGTCGGGCTACGTCTGTCATTTACCTTCAGCACGACCAGCATGTCCTCTTGAGTGGAATCAGGGTCATCCGATTGCGTCCTGATATCTGACGAGGATATGAACAATAGCAGCGACCCTTAAGAGCGTATGGCACGTACCATGTCCCAACATCTCAATCAGCAATCGCACACTCAGTTCCACGTCACCCATCTTCCGCGCGCAAGAATACCACGTTGACAGCAATGGCTGCAACAGAGAATCCCATTGTTCCCGTCTATACGTTTTCGCAATCCGCTCGAAGAATCTGAGTTCAGCGCCATCGTCAGCCATCCTTCTCATTGAGAGCAGTCAGGAATCACGAACCACGCAGCCATGTCGAACTTGCCCGACCCGCAGTATGTGTGTGCGATCCGATATGTAATCCAGGGTGTCAACCGTCCCTGGCCTTGGATGGTCGCGGGGCTGTATGCCTTGAAGAGCTCATAGGCTCTCGTATACAGCTGTCGACCAATGTTATTGCCTCATAGTCAACATTGTAGGGAGTGCATCATCGTACCTCCAAGATAATCGCATGATGCTCCACCTTCTTCTCATTCGAGAACCCAGGAGCGGTCATTGTCAAATGCTGCTTCGCCTAATCCACTATGAGTGACCTGACGCGCCCTATCCCTCATCAAACACTCACTTCGGCATCTAAAGCGGCTAGAAAGCGCTCACGTCTGCGCTCCGTGCAACGCGCAGCCATGTAATAGTAGAAGCCGGGATGCTGCGTGCTCATTGTTATACAGGTACAGCTTGCATATCTGGAGGAACAGTGAATTCATTGAGGGCTGTTGTTACTGCATGCAGGACATACCTTGAGGTCAATACAGTCGGACAGCACCTTTGCCTATGCCCAACGCTTAGTACGAGGCGGCAGGATCGCAGTCGACCGGAAAATCAGGAGCAGTGTCGAATACGCATCCTGATAGTGCCTACTAAATGTGATGAGCAAAGCCATCGGATAGACAATTCACGACGTACTTCAGCGCGACCTCGTCCTCTCCGCGAAACTCCGCAAAGCATGCCATCTTGTACTCGTATCTGACCGTCCAGCCTTCCGGCCTGAGCGGCCGTGCCGCCGACTTGCTCCCAGACAGACTCGGTGCAACATACGATGTCGCTGCCTGGGAGTAGCGATTGCGCTTTCGGCGCACGCGCTTCGAGTGGTTCGTGTAATACTCCAGGGCGGGCTCGTACAGAGCCTCCTGCAGGCTGAATGGGTTGAGCAATGAGTGCCAAGTGCAGATCCACCGTCGCATCTGCGTACAAAGTCGCCGATCTCGGACTGCGATACAGGACTCAGGGGCCGCCCGCGGGTCAAGCCCGCTCTGTCTCCGGATGTATGTTAAGCGGCCATCCAACGATGGGTTGTCTGCACTTATCAGATGATACGGGATCTAAAAAGGATCTGAGATACGCGCCCAGCATTCGTCTACTCGCCAACAGCACCACCATCAGCTTGACTCCCCGCTCGCTCGTCGACTTCTTCTGCGCAATCTCCGCACACAGCTCGTTGTCCCTCATTCGCTCCTCTGCCTCTATCTCGTGGTCTCCATCCCCAGGGTCAAGAGGGGAATGCGGCGCATTTTGAGAGGGCTCGAAGATGTGCATAAACATAACGAATACGGACGGGACGAGCGTTGTATGCTTGCGGACCCATATCGGCGCTATGAGCCCGTCCGGGTAGAGTGGCGATGTAGGGATAAGCGGAGGCAACGGCGAGTGCGCGCTGGAGTATTGCGGGTCGTCCGGCGGGACGAGTTTGTGCGGCGGGAAGCGCACGTCCTGCTGATAGTTCTGTCACTGCATGATGCGGGGTGCGTGTAGCTGCACACCTTGTCGACAATCACGACCTGAAACGTCATGTTTCTCTCTGGCTGCCAAATCGCAACTTTGCGCTAGTTAAGCAGCACTTCGCGCATCCGGTACGACAGCACTGCGAACGGATCGTGACCCTCACCGGGAGGTTGTGGAGAATCCAGTCCACTGACAAACATAACCAGAGCAAGCTGTACAAGAAGTTCTGGAGAATATGAGTTCATGTTGTCGATCCAACATGCCGCGATTCAGAAATCAAGGATGATTGTCGCATTGTGGCTTTGATTGTGGCCACATGCGTGG